CCCAGGCCTCGCCCTTACCCTAAAGTAAATGAAATGAAATCTTTTTTTTTTGTTTTATCGTTATTGACTAATTAAACACCGCTGGTTATTTAAAGTAATTTTCTTAAATAAATTGAAGATTTTCACCCATAGATCTTTATCATAAATAGGACAAACAAAAAGTTTATTTATTTCCAATCGTTCTATGAATTATATACTCTTCGGAAATTACATCACTGCTCCCAGACCGAAGTTCAACAAGAAGTTAGTGATTCTAGGATGAAACTGGAAAGATCTGGAAAACAAATTTTTTTTTAGCTTGTCCTGAATTCTAAAACTCATAAGCCTTGCACAAGGTATTACAATATTCTGTATAAATATTTCGTTAAAAAAAATCTCTCTGTTTTAGGATTAAAGAGTGTAGTAATATGCGAGATAAACAGTTCATATGCAAAATTTGATTTTTGATTAATTTAAATTTTTTTATTCGCTTTTATAACGTTTATAATTATTCTCGATTTTATTAAGATTTATACCTTAATAGTTGCTATTTGTTAGCAATCCTATTTTAATGAAGAATTAAATCCTATAAATGTAAGGGACTAGCGAAAAACCCGTGTTTCTGGTATGGAGTAAAGTTTTTGATATTAGTATTAAAATGTAATTGTTAAATTTATATAGAGAATTTATGAATTATTAGAATAGTTGTCTTAATACGATTTGCTAGTATTTGCGATGTTATAAAGTGATTAAGATTAATCGGAAATTTTGGTGTTAAGAAATTAATTTATTTAGGATTGGGTATGATTATCTTTATTGTCAGTAATATTTTAAGTATTTATGGTATTTATTATATATGATTATATATATGCATAAATAAAATTGTTATTTATTGTGAGATAATAATTTATTAATTTATTTTTTTAACTTTTTTGTATAGCTAATTTTGTAATTAGGTCAAGTAATTTTAGTTAATTAGTTGATATAATATTTTAATTAACTGAAGATGGACATAATAGGGTGATTATTATAATTTAATTGGTGTCGAATATATTGATGTTGTAAAAATCACTAGAATATATATTTTTGCGTTTAGGTTTTTAGAAGTGCTTCAGGATATACAATGTTTGTTGTGGTCATAGTAGTATTATTTTGAGGGAAAAGTACTTTGATAGAATATGGAGATGTACTGCGAGAGAGGGCAGTGTAAAGTTGCCCATGGGAAAATACAGGCATTCGAAGATCTAGGCCTACATTTTGATGGATTGACCTTGTGACTTGTTGATGGTCATCGCATAGGCAACACGTATGGGGAATTGTCTTCTTTTGAAGGTAAATGGGAGTTCAGTGGTTGAAGGGTTTAAAGTGATTCGAGCAATAAACGTTAATTCACCCGCGTGGTCACCACATATTATACGTGCTTCAATAATACGATCAGCTAGACATGTTATCACTAAGCGGGTTCCATTACAAAGACCTTGTCCAGGAGCAATATTTCTGAGGAGCATTATTGGACAGCCTACTTTTAAGTTAAGTTTGGCAAGTGGTAATCCACTGGGATTAAGAGAGTTCAAAAATTTAATAGGGTAAGTGTTATTATTATCAGCTCCTTTTTCTGCAATCGCATTATCAGTACTAATGTATGTACGTTAGTCTTTTGGGAATGTATTTAGAATTATTTGATTAATTTGGTTTACTTCTTGATTTCAGGGAGAAAGAATCGTCCGTTCACTAAGATAGCTATCACTGCACGTTTCTGCTGCATGAATATTAGGATATATAACGTTAATTAATGTTTCCAAGTCTTGGTATGGAAGTTTCATATAATCTGGCAAGGTAAGTTTATTGTCTATAGTATTAGTGCCATCTCCAACCTAAAAAAAAAAGTTAATAATATCAAGTATATTATTTATATAGTATGGTATATATAGAATAATAATTATTTGCCTGCAATAGCCAGTATGCAAATGCTTGGTTCTCTTCAGATTCTGCATTAAAGCGCATTACTTTTTTTAGGGTAAGTACTTTAATATAGTTCTATAAATAAGATCGTGTGAATGTGGCAGCTACAATTTCTTTTCTGGATCCTTCTGCAATGACTGGTAATACTTAGCAGAAATCTTCTCCAAATATGACTGTAATTCTACCAAATGGATAGTTATTGTCGCAGATATCTTGTAAGGAGCGGTCAACTGCCTCAGCACAGTGACAATGTTGCATGGGCACTTCGTCTCAGATTATTAGTGATGTTTGGTGTAGTAGGTCAGCATCTTTAGAAGTTTTATCATTTGCACAAACTGATGATTCATTTATGTCTAGCGGAATCTTGAATCTCGAATGAGCAGTACGACCAAGCATGAGTAAGAGAGATGCAATGCCTGAAGATGCTACACAGAGAACAATTTTTTCTTGGCTTCGAAGTTTCATTGCAATAGTGTTATATACAAAAGTTTTGCCAGTTCCTGCAGGGCCGTTTAAAAAAAATAATTGGCTTTTTTGGTTAATTACAGAATTATAAATATCATGGTAAGCAGATAATTGTTCATTATTTAATTGCGGAATGCGATTATTAACTGTATCATAAAGTTTTTGATGATCAAAAGCTAATTGTTCTGCAATAATGTAATTTATATCAGAATGGTTCCATTTATGTTTCCAAAGAGGCATTTGAGAAAACATATTAAGAGATTGGCCAGATTGATGAAGAATTTCATCTATAAGAAAAAGGCCAAAATCATAAATTTGATCATCAGAAGGTTCACAAATTGCATATTCTTTATGTAGTTTATATCGAAGGTTATCACAAAGATTATTATGAAAGCATAACCATAATTTGTCTGGATAAGAGGGTGTATATTGAGTAAGTAATATAGAAAAAAGAATTCTTAATTTAGAACCTGTACGTATAGTAGAAGCTTTTTCAAGGCATTGGACCTATTCATTATCATTTTCTAATAATCCTAGAGCCAAACACGCACTTTTGAATATTGGATATACTATATTGTTAACTGTTCTCAGATGCTCAAATGATTGTGGGCTACGAATATTAGTTAAAAGAAATCGAAAGTAGAAATGTTCACCTGCAGACGGATCAGCAAAATACAATTGTCCAATTGCAAATTCCTGTTTCTGAGGTGACCATTTTTTAGTTGATTTATTCCAAACAAAATGTTGTGGAAATTCTTGGTAAGTATATTGTTGAGCAGATTCAAGGTTTGCACATGTTTCAAAAAAAGAAGTAAGAGTTGTTTTTTGGCGATCAGCATGGGCAAGAATAGCAGCAGCACTATCATTAGGATCGAAAACAACTCTATGCATTTCAGGAAGATGTAGTGCTAATCTTACAACATTCGGAACTTCTTTATGCATATTAATACCTAGGAGACGCCATACAGCTTCAGAAGCACCAATATATCTTGCATCAATATATTGCTTAATTTCATCTAATTTGTGCCCAAACTGCATTGTTGTTCTATTGTGTCCTTTATAAATGTACTTGTGAATATATTTAATTGCACTTACAGAGGCACATATTTCGATATTTATGTAACAGTTATATTTTCTGCTAAGATCAGGATTATATAGCACAATATTATGGTTATCAACTATTTGTTTGCGAATTTCAAATGTTCGATAGTCATTTCTTCTGGCATAAAGAGGGTATCCATTTGTATCTATTGACATTGTATTACAAAATTTTTTTGGGTAACCCTTTTCACAATTACCATTTATCATACAGGAGGCACTAGGGTTATGGGAACCACATGATCCATGAACCATACAACGAAGAATAGTATCAAAAAGCGCGGGATCTGTTTTTTCATTAGGAAATTCTGCACATACTATATGATCAACGTCTTTGGGATCTTTTATTTTATTATCATTGTAAAAAATATTAAAAAGTGCATATGTGGAAGACCACATTTTTGAAATTCGATTGTATAAACATGTGCAATAGCCTGCCAAAAAAATTATTTTTGTTAATATCGTAAAGAAGTGCACAACACTTTAATTCAAATATACATGCAACCAAGTCTGGTCGATCTGCAGGTGTCTGACCAAAGAACAGTTCATTAGTTATTTTGGGCCAATTTGGGTTAGCAGTCATTATACCAAATATGTCAGGATGACCATAAAACTAGGTAATTGCCATGGAATTTTGAAATAATTCAAACATATGACGGGTACTGCCAATGTGTGTGGATGGAAGAATAATTCTGCGCCCAAGATTATTAACAGATATATTATTATTTGTATTGTTGCCAATTGTATCAACAATGCCTTGATATACATCTGCATGTAATTTGTCTTGATTCATATGCAAAAATCTTAATCTATTTTGTTCAGTTACAGCCCATGCATCTACCACAAATTCTTAAAACAATTTATTCCTGTGAAGTATCGTAGAAAATTCATTATAACGTGAAAAAAGTCGAAAAGAATAAAATTCTGATTGAGTAAGACTTGATCTATTATTTTCATTAATACGATTACTTTGTGTATTAATTGGTGTATAATGTAAATTAGAATACTATTCAAGTTCTCTATGAGGGAAAAATAGAACATAGTGAAGAGTTAGATATGCAGAGTGTCCTTCATGAATTCGTTGAAGCTGGCCTCCTTGGAGTTGAAGAACAATATCACGTATTAACTCAGGTAATGATCTATTACTAGATAAAATGATAGCAATCTCATCTGCTGTAGGAAGATTATAGCGATGTTGGTCATTTGACTTATTGAAATGAAGATAAATTATTAAATCTGATTCTCTTATGTTATTTTGTTGGGCTTGAAGTATTTTATGTGCTTGTTTGTATAAGAGATAAAATGTATGATATTTACATAAGACTTTTTGTATTTCCTACATAGTTTGTGTTGATAAATTTTCATTTCTTTTTATTCTTAAATTATGTGCTATACTGGAATCATAGATATAGAGTTGCACATAAACTGCTTCAGTATTTGGTTCAGGAATAAGAGAACCTGTAAGATGACATAATTCACCACTAATATGAAAACTATATGGACTATGACTATGAAGAATAAACTCATCAATATTTGCTCCTAGTGATGTAAATGCATATGCTACATTATATTGTCGAATATTATGCTAGAATTCTTTAGAACGTCATCTTGATTTTCAAAAAGTTGACGCAAAATATGTGGTGGATTCTGAAGATAAGGTAAAATAACTTTGCCATGAGAACAACATGTACCAAATTTTGGGTGATATCGAGAAGAAGAGGTTATACATTTATCAATCCAATAGAGTGCACCACAATAGGTACATTCAATATTCATTTTACCAAGATTATGTCGTTCACTAAAATACAATAAATCAGAAGCGAGGGGAATATTCTGATGTTTTTGAATCTTTTTTTGTTGTCGAGCTTTTGGTATAGGTGTTAGTCTCTTTTTTTGTATATTTTTATGTATCATTTTTTCTTTTGGCATTTTTATAATTATCTTTGTTATTATATCTTGTATTCTAATTTATTTATTGCAGACTGCTCTTGGGTTAAATTTTATATGCTGTTTTATTTATTATAGTTTGCAGAATATATTTAGTATTATTTAGATATTTTGTAACTGGCTATTTATTACTGTCAGAAGGACTATATTATTTAATTTGTATAAATTTTGCTTTGATAACTTAGGTAAGTTTTTTTGATTATATTAGATTTTATAAGGTTTATCGATATAAATATATATTATGCAGTTTTTAGTATATATTATATATTTTAGATAAATCAGCAAATTTTTTTAATATTAAATTAATTGGTCTATGCGTATTTTTATATAATATATAAACCAGAAGAATTGTTAATCATTATTATGAAAGTTATACTATATCAGATGATTATAGATATTTAATTTTAATTAGGGATATTATCCTGCTTAAAATGTTCAAAACTGCTTAATGGGATTTGTTTATTACTACGATAATTACTTTTTGATGTATGTATACTTAATTAAACTTACTTATAATATTTTTAAAAAAATATTTTATTAACGGCAATCAATAATTCAGCTCGATTTGAAGGAGATATTACCGTACAGCACTGCATACAGTACTCCCCTAGAAAAATATTCCCTTTGAATAATATCAGGGTACTATTCAATCGTAAATTTTGACATTTTTAAAAAGTATCCCAGTATTAATCAATCGTCAAAAAAACTCATTTTTACTATGTTCATACATTATGTGATTAACTCATATGGTCAAAAACCCCTCATATAGTATCTATCTCTTCACACAGTACTCCCCGAAGTACTATTTAATTAATACTGGTACTTTTGAAAAAAGACCAGGGGTACTGTATACAGCGCTATATGGTACTATTTTTAATGTTCAAAAACCTTGTTTATGAAACTGGTTTTATTTAAAACTATTTCGATTTCGAATATGATTTTTTAACCATTCTCTACTAATCAAACTTGTTATTAATATTTTTTTGAATAAAATTAATTATTACAAAAAATTATTTTAACTATTTTTCAGCAAGTTATTTTAAAAGTTAATTTAGATTATACAAAGTAAGATAACATCTTTACTTTTGATGTGTTTAACAGTTTATATTTGTATGAAAATAGCTAATAATTGATTACAAATGATAACAAATTTTGTAAGTTCTCATTATCAAGTTTATCTCGAAATTTTTTAATTTTTGAATAGTTTATGTACTA